CATACTGCTTTCCATATTGGCTGCACCAATTTGCAGTCCCCCCAGCAGTGTATGAATGTACCTTCAACACTTATTGTTGTTTGTCTTCATAAATAGCTGCCATTCTGACTGGAGTAAGATGAAATCTTAACAGTGGTTTTGATTTGCATTTCTCTCATTGCTAGTGATGATGAACATTTTTTCATGTATTTGTTGATTGATTGTACATCATCTTCTAGAAATGTCTCTTCAGGTCCTTGGCCCATTTATTGATTGTGATGAAATTTTTGACCTATTGTAACCATGAAAGAGAAGATGGAAAAGGTCATATACATTATGTAATATATTTATGGAGGAAGGGATGGAGAGAGGAAGAGGGAGGGGAAGGGAGAGATTGTGAGAAGGAAGGGAGGGAGAGTGAGAGAATTTGAATATTTGTGCAAATTCCCTGTCAAAATTTTTCAGGAGAACAGATTGTACAAGAATACCATGCAATTCTCAAATGAACAAACAAAAAATGCCAAGATTCTTGTGTAGCTGTCTCTTTGAAAATAATTAGTTACATATGTACTGTGGGAAGAGAACAATACCACCTTAATTTTTCTCTGCTGGATTCTCTGCTTAAATCACCTTATTTTGAAATCCTGCTCACTTTATCTTCATGAACTATTTGCATTAAAAGGTTATGTAAAAACAGATAAGCTTATGTCCTCAATAAGACTAAAACACATTGTGTAAGTGCCACCACAGGTTCATACATACCTCTTTATTCTACCACTTGATAACTGAGTTAATAAAAGCAGCTTGTAGGCTGAAAGCCATTGAGCAGAACCAAAGATTTTTCCCTATGAAAGAGGGCTAGAAATGTGGATCATATGTCCATATTGTTTGATATTATGTTTGGTAGGGGAAAGCAGTCACATAAATCTCTTTGACTCTTCTTTCTCTTCGTTTTTATAATTTATATCTTGTGTCAATCAAAAGAACCAAATCATCCTTAAGTCAAAAAAGAGAGGCAAGGCTAAGATGATACAGCTTCAAACAATGTGTTTTTTTTTTAATTTTTTTTAAACAATGTGTTCTTAATTACTTTTTAATTCACTGATAATTTTGTTTTGTAGTAAGATTACAGTGACTTGCTTTTATTTTCTGATTTAAAATATTTTTCTCATAGGTAAAAATTCTTTGTATATATATTTTAATGTTGGGATTTTATGAAGTGTGACTCCTAGGATAATGTCACTAACTGAGAATTATATAAAAAGTAAAGTGAAACAAAATAAACATAATACTGTAATTCTTTATTATATAATAGATTCTCTCACAATAATTTTAAAATCATATAACTGCATAAGTATTTTATTTAGATTTATAAGTATATAGATTCTAATTATACAATTTCTTATTAAAAGGATATTAAGAAAATAAGAGCATTTATAAAAGGTACTCAAAAAGAAATATCATCAAGATTTAAGAAAAAATAATTATTTAAAATAGTTTTGGGAAAATAATGCATTAAAAGCTAGAAGTCATCTACAAATATAAAATACTGGTATTGGGCTGGGGATGTGGCTTAAGCGGTAGCGCTCTCACCTGGTATGTGTAAGGCGCTGGGTTCGATCCTCAGCACCACATACAAATAAAGATGTTGTGTCCGCTGAAAACTAAAATATATATATATATATATATAATATTGGTATTGATTCTATCATCTCTGAAAAAAGGAAACTTCCTTTTTATTTCTAGACTTATTAATAGCATTGAAACAGAAAGAAAGGTGAAAGCTAATGAATTGTGAGAAAAATGACTCAACATGGAAAGTTTAAAAGTTCTTTCTGCACAATAAAACATAATATGTTCTTGAGTATTGTTTCCTCTTCTTAAAGTCTCTTAGATATTAAGTTTCCTTCAGCTGTGAAAGGTGCTAGATTATGTAATTTTCTTCATCATCTATTTTCCTCTCCTTTATGTTATCCTAAAATCATTATAACTATTTAATTCAGAGAAACTCCCCCCAAATAATAATCATATGCTAGGTTAAAGGTAAAATTTCGAGTGACCTAGCAGTCATCATCTGTCTTTATGAAGTAATTAAAGTATTATAACCCACCTTAAAGTTTTGTAACCCATATAAAGAGTTGTCTTTCAAGACTGGGGTTTTTGGATGTTTTTCACCTGGATTAATTGTGTTTAATGCTCAATGTAAATGAATTGAAATGTTTTGAATTATTATTATAATATCATAAAATGATAGTCATGAAATGAATCTGACATAATTTTCCTATATACATATATGAAAACATCACAGTGAAGTACATCCAGAAGAATAGGGTGCTAACTAGAATAAGATACATTCCATGCTCATATAATTATATCAAAATATAGTCTACTGTCATGTACAACTAAAAATAACCAATAAATAAAAAATAAACAAATAATTCCAACAGGATAGAAGTAGGTATCTGATTTCTAAATGTTAACAAAAGAAACCTATTATTTTCCAATATTTTACAGAAAATGGGAGCTTTTTAAATGTTATGCATTGTTACATTTAATAAATATCCATATACTGAGGCCATAAGCAACTTAGCAAGACTGTATCTCAAAATAAAATATAAAAAGGGCTGGGGAGGTAGCTCACTGATTAAAGCACCTGTGGGTTAAATCCCTAGTACAAAAAAAGTCATCCTTTCAGTCTTATAAAATACAAGGCATAGAGGAACAATTTAAATGACACTACGAGGAAACTAACAAATTCAGGATATAGGATATCCCAAAAGAAAAACTAGTCTGGACACTTCAAAAAATTTAGTATCACAGAGGTGGGAGAATATTCTATAGTAAATAGACCTACCACCTAATAAAATTATACAATTTGGTTTAAAGAGTTTCTGAGACATTCTTTACAACAAGTGGCTAAGAAAATAGTGCATTTGTAAAAGGAACTCAACAATGAATGTGATTCTTATCAAAGTTAAAGAAAACTGGAAGAGGATAATGGAAGGATATTTAGTGAGATTTAGGGTCTGGACTTAAAATCATGTAGAATTGTTATTAATTTTCTTAGGTATTTTAGTAGCATTGTGATTTTGTGGGATAATGTCCTTATACCTAGAAAATACTTGCTGAATATTTAGAAGAATCATAATATCTACAAGTAACTTTCAAATTAATCATCAAAAAGTTGCATGTAGAAAAAAAAGAAGAACAGCAAATATGACAAAATATAAATAATTATTTTGTTTGGATGGAGGGTAGAGTTGTGTTTATTGTTTATATTTTAAATTTTTTGGTAAAAAATTTAAATTATTATAAAAACTATTTTAGAGCAATTTTAGGTTTTACAGATAATTGGGCAGATAGTATTACATTCCTATTTACCTTATCTTTCCCACTTAGTTTTCCCTATCATAACTAATCTTGCCTTAGTATTACATATTTATTTTAAGTACGAACAAATGTTGATGCCTTATAAACTAAAGTTAATAATTTATATTAGGGTTGACTTTTTGATGATGTACTATTCTGTGAGTTTTTACAAATATGTAATATCCTTTATTACAGGATATAGGATATCTACCATTACAGCATAATAAAGTTTCATTGCCCTAAAAATCACTTGTATTTTATCTCTTTATTCCTCCAACCATCTGCCCCTGGCAACCACAGATCTCTCTAATTCTCTATATTTTCGTTTTTACTAGAAATTCATGTAGTTGGAATAATTCAGTACACAATCTTTTCAGATTGGTGAACTTTGTATTTTGTGCAGTGCTGGGGATTGAACTCAGGTCCTCACCAAAGTGCTCTACCATTCAGACACATCCACAAGCCCCTCAGATTGGCTTCCTTAAGCAGTATGCATTTAGTTTCCTTCATGTCTCTCTGTGGTTATCAAGTCTGAGGTCTGGCTTGATAACTCATTCTTTTTACCATATATTATTTTAAAACACAACAAGATGGTAACTTTAAAAACCTAAGAAATGTACCTTGTTTGGAACATTTCTTTAAAGACATTTTGTATGTGTGTGTGCTAGAGATTGAACACAGTGATTCAACCACTGAGCCACATCCATAGCCTTTTTTTAATATTGTATTGAGAGATGGAGTCTCACTATGTTTTTTAAGGCCTCACTGCTGAGGCTGGCTTTGAACTTGCCATCCTCCTGCCTCATTCTCCCAAGCCACTGAGATTACAGGTGTACACCACTGCACATAGCTTTGCTGAGTTTTTGATATGGAATTATTAATTTTGCTAGATTCAATACTGAATCAAAGTTATAAAATGCTCTTAATCTGTTAGAAATAAAAATTAAAATGTTATCATATTCACAAGAAAAACTGACTGCTCTTGGAGATTTTCATGTAGCTCACTCATATCAAACTTCAAGGAAATGAGAATTGGGAGCTATTCAAGAAATATAATTAAGAATATTTCATTGTATACCAGAACATTCTCATTGAATTCTGTGCTTTTCTTGAATCTTGATATTTTTCATTTGGATTTGAGTGTGAGGATGGTAACCTAATCATCATCCAGATGTGTGGATACACAAATTCTTATAAAAACTGGGAACTTTCTAATCAAAGTCTTCTTTCTACTGCATCCTAGGACTGAGGTCACTCAGTTTCTAAAGTTGATCTTTTTTCCATAGCCACATAGATCTCCAAGGAAGCTAAAGTAATATGTCAATGCTTTCCACGTAATTTTAGATGCAATGAAAGCCTTTCAAAATGTGACTAAGACTTTGGTAAATTGGAAGACACTAATCAAAAATACTCAATTTTAATCATCAATCTGGATGAAAGAATTTTGATTTGCTTAGTTTTGGAGAAAATGCTCGGAAAGAACGCGGGGTGGCGCTGTAGCCTTAGAAGTAGAAGGAACAAAAGCCAACCGGTGACGGCGGGTTTAGCCAGATATTCAGATAAAGAAGCAAGCAGGAGGAGGAGGCTTTCTAAGGCGGTGGTTCCGGGAAATCGAGGCCCTAGGATTGTTCACTTATCTCAATATTAACAAGATATTTGTGAGAGAAGAGTCAGCGACTACGGTTTGCTGAGAGACCAGAAAGCAATGGAAACCAGAGACAGAAAGGAACTCCTTCTGGAACAAAGGCAAGTCCTGATATTCTTTGTCTTGCTGGGCATGGCTCTGGCTGGTTTTGAGAGTAGGCGCTATTCGGTGGCTGAGGAAATGGAGAGTGGCTATTTTGTGGCCAATTTATTAAAAGACTTGGGGCTGGAAGTAGATGAACTGATTGTGCGGGGTCCCCGGGTTGTGTCCAAAGGGAAAAAACTGAGTTTACAGTTTGATAGGCAGACAGGGGATTTATTTTTAAATGAGAAGCTGGACCGAGAGGAGTTATGTGGTTCTACAGAGCCCTGTGTATTACCTTTCCAGGTGTTATTGGAAAATCCCTTGCAGTTTTTTCAGGCTGAGCTACAGATTAGGGACATAAATGATCATTTTCCAGTCTTCCTAGACAAAGAAATATTTTTGAAAATTTCAGAAAGTACCACACCCGGAACCACTTTCCTAATAGAACGTGCCCAGGACTTAGATGTAGGAAGCAATAGTCTCCAAAATTACACAATCAGCCCCAATTTCTACTTTCATCTTACAACACAAGACAGTGCTGATGGCATATTACCACAGCTGGTGTTGGACAAAGCACTGGATCGAGAGGAACAGCCTGAGCTCAGGTTAACTCTTACAGCGCTGGATGGCGGTACTCCACCAAGGTCTGGTACTGCCCTGGTCCGCATTGAAATCTTGGACATCAATGACAATGCCCCTGAGTTTACAAAAGTACTCTATGAGGTGCAGGTTCCAGAAAACAGCCCCATTGGATCCCACGTTGCTACTGTCTCTGCCAGGGATTTAGATATTGGAGTTTATGGACAAATATCTTATGCATTTTTCCAAGCCTCTGAAGATATTCGCAAAACCTTTCAAATAAATGCAAAATCGGGAGAACTCCTTTTAACACAAAAGCTGGATTTTGAATCAGTTCAGACTTACACTATAAATATTCAGGCAACAGATGGTGGGGGACTTTCTGCAAGTTCTGTGGTTCTTATCCAAGTGATAGACTTGAATGACAACCCTCCAGAACTGACCATGTCCACACTTATCAATCAAATACCAGAAAACTTGCAGGAAACCATAATTGCCATATTCAGTGTTTCAGATTCTGACTCTGGAGACAACGGAAGAATAGTGTGCTCTATCCCAGATGATCTTCCTTTCTTCCTGAAACCTTCTGTAGAGAACTTTTACACTCTGGTGACAAACACAGCCCTGGACAGGGAGACCAGGCCTGAGTATAATGTCACCATCACTGTTAGTGACATGGGGACACCCAGGCTGAAAACTGAGCACAGCATAATAATCCTCGTTTCTGACGTCAATGACAATGCCCCTGCTTTCTCCCAAATGTCGTACACGCTGTTGGTGCACGAGAACAACCAGCCCGCTCTGCACATAGGCAGTGTCAACGCCACAGACAGAGACTCAGGCACCAATGCCCAGATCACCTACTCGCTGCTGCCAAACCAGGACCCACACCTGCCCCTCGCCTCGCTGGTTTCCATCAACGCAGACAATGGGCAGCTGTTCGCGCTGAGGGCGCTGGACTTCGAGGCCCTGCAGGCATTCGAGTTCCGCGTGGGCGCCACAGACCAAGGCTCGCCCGCGCTCAGCAGCCAGGCGCTGGTGCGCGTGGTGGTGCTGGACGAAAATGACAACTCGCCCTTCGTGCTGTACCCAATGCAGAACGCCTCTGCGCCCTGCACTGAGCTGGTTCCCAGGGCGGCAGAGCAGGGCTACCTGGTCACCAAAGTGGTGGCGGTGGATGGAGACTCGGGCCAGAACGCCTGGCTGTCATACCAGCTGCTCAAGGCCACGGAACCTGGGCTGTTTGGCGTGTGGGCGCACAATGGCGAGGTGCGCACCGCCAGGCTGCTGAGCGAGCGCGACGCGGCCAGGCACAGGCTGGTGGTGCTGGTCAAGGACAATGGCGAGCCTCCGCTGTCTGCCAGCGTCACGCTGCACGTGCTGCTGGTGGATGGCTTCTCCCAGCCCTACCTGCCGCTCCCGGAAGTGGCGCCCGAGCGCGCGCAGGAGGACTTGCTCACTGTCTACTTGGTCATCGCCTTGGCCTCGGTGTCATCGCTCTTCCTCTTCTCTGTGCTGGTGTTCTTGGCGGTGAGGCTGTGCAGGAGGCGCAGGGCGGTGCCGCTGGGTGTCTGTTCTATTCCTGAGGGCCACTTTCCGGGTCACCTGGTGGATGTTAGTGGCACGGGTACCCTGTCTCAGAGCTACCAATATGAAGTGTGTTTGATGGGCAGCTCAGGCACCAGCGAGTTCAAAGTTCCTAAGCCCATTATCCCCAGTTTCCTTGCTCAAGGTGTGGAGACAGAAAGGGACGAAAATCCCAGTTTCAGGAATAATTTTGAATTCAGTTAAATACCAAGAAGGATCCACTGAGTCTGGTCTCAATTTGTACAAAGTTCTGTTTTTATTGCTTTGCCCATTTATGCCTCTCCTCTCCTCTGCTCTCCTATCTTCCCATCCCCTCCCCTCCCCAATCCTCCCTCCCCTCTTTTCTTCTTTCCTTCCTCCTCCTCCTCCTCCTCTTCTCTCAAGTATCTATTCCAATTCTGTGCACATTACTGATATTTCTAAATATATGGTCTTGTGGTATGATTAATGTAAATTTTCTTTGTATTCCTTTTTTAAAATTAGTCTAACAACTTAGATTTAAAGTGTGAAATAAATTTTGTATTTTTAGAAATCCTTAATTTTTAAGTTAAAGCACCTTACCCCAAACTCACATCCCCAGAAAACTCATATGCTCCTAACTAATTTTGAAGTCCTACATTTAAAATATTTGCTATCATTACACAGGATAAAATTTTCCCATCTGGAATATTTTGGGGTTTTATATCCTCTTCCCCCAATGTAACTTTTATTTTGTGAACTTACAGTGGCTAAACCATTAATATAGGTTTATTCATGAATAAATTGCACCCTCCATGCATTTGTCTAAATATGTACTTCTTTAAAATATTGACATGTAAAAAATATTACTCTTTAGCGAGAAGCCTAACTGTTGGATTCTACAAAACATTCACATTACAAATTATAAATTTTTGTCAAAAATCACTCAGCTGGGCAGTAACCTATTGCCAGAAAATTGTAAGCTTAATGCCAGCCTTGGTCACTTAGATCCTGCCTCAAAATAATACAAACAATGGAGATGTAGCTAAGTGCTATAACATTGTGGGCTCAATCACCAGTAGGAAAATCACTCATATTCTAAAATAATTTAAAATTTAAGTTCTACTATTTAACTAATAGTACCTATTCAGTGATTTTCAAAGGCATGCCAATTTTTCATGTTTTCTATTTAAAATAGTCTTTAAAATTCTCTGCTTATTCTAATCCCCCCTTTAAAAACCTGTTTTAATTATTTAAAACCCTCTAACTGAGCCCTTCATCAAAATCTAAAACTATACCAGAGAATATATCTTTGACCTTTATCAATTTTTAGAAAATTCACATGTAATTGGGATTTGCATTTTTCAGATTTTTTGGAGTATTTATGAAAAACCTATATTAATGGTTTAGCCACTGTAAGTTCACAAAATAAAAGCTACATTGGGGGAAGAGGATATAAAACCCCAAAATATTCCAGATGGGAAAATTTTATCCTGTGTAATGATAGCAAATATTTTAAATGTAGGACTTCAAAATTAGTTAATTAGTTAATTAGAAATAAACCTGATGGAGGACAAAAATGTATGCAGGTCCACTCAGTCTATTTTTTGTGCTGCCTTCTTCTATTTGGTCCCTTTAGTTCCCTAAGATTTTCAATTTTTTAAAAGTTGCTTAAATCATGTTTGTCAATAGCTCCCCATTATGGCATGATTAACACGGTCATTAGACCATTTTAAGTTCTTAATAAAAATTTTGAATGATTGGAAAAGTCTTTATTTCACCTGTGATGTATTGATATTTAAATACACTAAGATACTTTAACGGACAAAAGTTCTTCTGTAATTGAATACTTTCTGTTGTACAATGAATTATGTAATTTTGTATAATTGAACTTTCACTATTATTCAAACCATCTGGTTATCAGTCTTTACTGTCCCTTTACTTCAACATATCTTTCCCTTTTTTCCTCACTGGTTAATTTGAGTTTCCTCTCCTGTTCACTGGATTAGTTAGGGAATAAATAGGGAAACTGTGGTATTCAATTTTATAATTCATATATACTATAATTCCTAATGATTCATCCAATTTTCTTCATTTCTCAGTTTAATTTCTGATCTATATGTTAAAATTAATTTAAACCAATGTTATTCAGTCTATCTTTCCATTTATATATGATTTTATGCATATTTAAATATGATTAAAATTACAATATGAATTTTGAAAGTCTCATTTTGAGATTATTGGTGACAAATAGCACTATCTTGGTTATCTGAGGAAAAGTATCACAGATTCACAGTCAACCTGAACAACTTAGTGAGATCCTGTCATAAAATAAAGTAACCAAAAAAATGTTGCTGGGGATGCAGCTCAGTGGTAGACTACCCCTGAAGTCAATCCTCAGTACCACCGCAAAAAAAAAAAAAAAAAATCTTTATCACTTGTAGGACCTTGAGTAAGTTATCATTTCCAACCCCCAAATGATAACTGCTGTTTCAATAGCTTGCAATTATGATAAAATAAATAGTATAAATGTTAAAAAACCATAATTGCTGTTATGTTTAATGTCACCAAGAATAGAGTCAAAAGATGTGCCAGCATATGTATCCCTGATAACTGTCAAAATACAAAAGAAGCTAGATTGAACACATGATATTTGCAATTTTTCATATATTGTCCTACAACTTTACAATGCTTTTTGTTATTAGAATAAAATCTAAGCACACATTATTTGGCCTGCATTTACCTACCTAGCCTCCTCTTCTCACCTACTCTTGAAAGTTCTAAGTTATGTGTACACTATTCTTCTTTACTAGATTAGTCATGCTTTTCTAGCTCAGGAATTTCACATATTAAGCATTCAACCTCTGACACACCTTTTCATCCATGTTCCAAATTAAATGGTACATCTTAAGGAACATTTTCTTAACTTCTCCCCAATTAAGTTAGGTCTCTTTATTGTATGTTTTCAGTGCCCTGAGTACATTTTCTATGCAACACTTCTTAGGCTGAACACCTGTAAAATAAGGATAGAGCACGTTTCAATGTTTATTGAAGGTGAAAATATAGAAGTAATTAGGCATTTGTAGTCCTCTGATCTACCCCCTGACATGACCTATTATAATTTTTTACCACTTTGTCATTTGATAGTATTTTTCCAACTAGAAATGCAACTCTCACATTTTTATAAAATTTGGAAAATAAAATAATAGGACTTCTAATCATGTTCTCATTTAGAAAAAATTTTAAATTTGCATGTAATGATTATAGAACGTGTTCACTGCTACAAAATAATGTAATTGAGGATTCTACAAGGAACAATCACTTCTTTAAGAGCTCATTTTACTTCTCTAGGTTATGTTTACTTAACTTACATGACACAAGAAACTCTTCCAGTAGCCTCTACTGAGTTTGATAAGGGCAATAATCAATATAACAAAAAATCAAAAACAAAACCTACCTTTTGCAAGAGTTTAAACTGTGAGCGAACGCATGGTGGCGCTGCTGACTAAAAAGGTGAATTAAATCGCACGCACACAGGACTCTGAGAGCACAGCTCCAGTGCGGTAAACTAGGGTTTGTGAAATGGTGACGATTTTTAAGCAAGCCTCGTGAAAGGATTATTTACCAGGTTGGAATTTCCAGGACTTTGCATTCCCAGAGCCTTCTGAAGCTCGGCTTGGCTACATTCCTTGGAAGAATATAGCAAGAAGTGCAATGGAGGCCAGAGGGGAGAGCTTTCTTAGACAAAGGCAAGTCCTGCTTTTCTTTGTTTATGTGGGTGGGTTTCTGGCTGGGTTCGAGTCAAGACCCTATTCAGTGGCTGAGGAAAAAGAGAGAGGCTTTTTAATAGCCAATCTAGCAAAGGATCTAGGGCTAACTGTTGAGGAACTGGTGGCAAGGGGGGCCCAAATTGTATCGAAAGGAAACAAACAGCATTTTCAGCTCAGTCATCACACCGGTGATTTGCTTCTGAAGGAAAAAATGGACAGGGAGGAGCTATGTGGCCCTACAGAGTCATGTATACTGCATTTTCAGGTATTACTGCAAAACCCTTTCCAGTTAATTACACAAGAGATTCAAATCATAGATGTAAATGACCATGCTCCAATATTCTTTGAAAATGAAATGGAGCTGAAAATCCCAGAAAACTCTCCACCAGGAACAGTAATTCCTTTGGAATATGCTGAGGATTTGGATGTGGGAAAAAACAGTCTCCGAAACTACACAATTGCTCCCAATTCCTATTTTCACGTTCTCATGCGCAGTCGGAAAGATGGAAGGAAGTACCCAGAACTAGTACTGGACAGAGCGCTGGATCGAGAGGAGCTGCCTGAGTTCAGTTTAACACTCATGGCACTGGATGGTGGGTCGCCACCAAGGTCTGGGACAGCCCAGATCCACATTCTGGTCTTAGACATAAATGACAATGCCCCAGAATTTGCACAGTCCCTCTATGAAGTTCAAATTCTAGAGAACATCCCTATTAACTCTGTCATTGTCACTGTTTCAGCTTCTGATTTAGATACAGGAAGTTTTGGGGCAATATCATATTCATTTTTTCATGCTTCAGAAGAAATTCTCAAAACTTTTCAACTAAATCCAATTACTGGTGATATGCAATTAGTTAAATATTTGAATTTTGAAGCAATAAATAATTATGAAGTCGACATAGAGGCCAAGGATGGTGGAGGTCTTTCAGGAAAATCTACAGTCATAATTCAGGTGGTTGATGTGAATGACAACCCACCAGAACTGACTCTGTCATCAGTTAACAGTCCTATCCCTGAGAATTCGGTAGAGACTGTGGTAGCGATTTTCAGTGTTTCTGATCTAGACTCTGGAGACAATGGAAGAGTGATGTGTTCCATCCAGAACAATCTCCCCTTCGTCCTGAAACCATCCTTAGAGAATTTTTACACCCTAGTGTCTGAAGGAACGTTGGACAGAGAAAGCAGAGCAGAATATAACATCACCATCACAGTCACCGACATGGGGACACCCAGACTGAAAACCGAGCACAGCATAATAATCCTTATCTCTGACGTCAATGATAACACCCCTGCCTTCTCCCAAACGTCATACACGCTGTTGGTGCACGAGAACAACCAACCCGCCCTGCACATAGGTAGCGTCAGCGCCACAGACAGAGACTCAGGCACCAATGCCCAGATCACCTACTCGCTGCTGCCAAACCAGGACCCACACCTGCCCCTCGCCTCGCTGGTCTCCATCAACGCAGACAATGGGCAGCTGTTCGCGCTGAGGGCGCTGGACTTCGAGGCCCTGCAGGCGTTCGAGTTCCACGTATGCGCCACAGACCAAGGCTCTCCTGCGCTCAGCAGCCAGGCGCTGGTGCGCGTGGTGGTGCTGGACGACAACGACAACTCGCCCTTCGTGCTGTACCCGCTGCAGAATGCCTCTGCGCCCTGCACCGAGCTGGTGCCCAGGGCGGCAGAGCAGGGCTACCTGGTCACCAAAGTGGTGGCGGTGGATGGAGACTCGGGCCAGAACGCCTGGCTGTCATACCAGCTGCTCAAGGCCACGGAACCTGGGCTGTTTGGCGTGTGGGCGCACAATGGCGAGGTGCGCACCGCCAGGTTGCTGAGCGAGCGCGATGCTGCCAGGCACAGGCTGGTGGTGCTGGTCAAGGACAATGGCGAGCCTCCGCTGTCTGCCAGCGTCACGCTGCACGTGCTGCTGGTGGATGGCTTCTCCCAGCCCTACCTGCCGCTCCCGGAAGTGGCGCCCGAGCGCGCGCAGGAGGACTTGCTCACTGTCTACTTGGCCATCGCCTTGGCCTCGGTGTCGTCGCTCTTCCTCTTCTCTGTGCTGATGCTCTTGGCGGTGAGGCTGTGCAGGAGGCGCAGGGCTGTGCCGCTGGGTGTCTGTTCTATTCCTGAGGGCCACTTTCCGGGTCACCTGGTGGATGTTAGTGGCACGGGTACCCTATCTCAGAGCTACCAATATGAAGTGTGTCTGATGGGAGGCTCAGGGACTAGTGACTTCCTGAGTCCAATCATCCCCACTAGTGTGATTCAAGACCCTTAGCAGCTCTGTTTTAAATTTGCAATTGAAGGAATGGTTTAGATTTCATTAACAGAATAATCAAAAAGTAGTTGTGTGGCTATGCATGTTTCCTTTTAAAATCAAGAAGGCTTAGTTGATACAACATTTTGTTTATATATAGATTTTACTTTCTATGTAAGCATATGTTAATCCATTCATATTTTTCTTTTTTCATCTGCTTCATGACTTATCAATGCAGTCTTAATGCTTGTTTTTCTTTTTCTCATAGTGGAGTAAAAATAAATTCATTGTCTTTTAATGGCAATTTCAAATAGGTTTACTTAATAACATTTCAAATTATATATTTCAAAGCAGTGTGGACAGTTTCAAATCACAAATTCAGTAATTTTTCCTGTTGAATATTCATTCATATGCTGTTTTTTAAATTCTGAAAGCTGTTTGATCCATGGTTAATGAAGCTTGAGGGTTAATAGAACAAAAGATATAGTAATGTACCATCTTTTTAGAGGTATAATAGTCAAATGAAAGTAATACATTTGTTTTCTATATTGACACTTTCAGTCAATATTTCAATATTGTATACATTGTTATCACTCAAGTGGACAAACATTATAGACAAATGCAGCAAAGTACTCTTAGGTAGGCACTTTTTAGGGTTGCTTAAAGTGTAATCATTTTGACTGAGGGAAAAATTAAACATAAGCCATTTTAAACAACTGATTATTCTTTCCATTTTTAATGAAATTTTATATAGGAAGGCATCTGGTGGGATGGCAGTTTGGTTTGTAAATTCTGGTATCTAAGCGTAAACACCTGAGGGCCTTTTTTTTTTTTTTTTTTAAGAATTTACACAGATATATGATCTTTAAATGTTTTACAGTAAAAGCACTGTCCTATCAAATTGTACTTTATTATTACCTACTTACCATATATCTAGTGATTTAGAAGGGAAATATTTTGCTTCCTGTCTTGATTCCCTTCTTTAGATTGCAATCTGACATGATTTAGCATTATTTATGGTCTTCCTGGGATAAATATCTGCCACCCACATCAGTATTCCACCTCCTACATTGTAATTAAAAGATCACAATAGGAAATTCTCAAGAGAATAGAGTTCTCTTTTTCTCATTGTAAAAGTCTAAATTGGCTAAAACTAAGAATAAAATCTGGAAGCAACCAAAATATCAAATTGTATGGCTATTTTGAGTGAAACAAAATTTTATTTTCAATGAGAAAAATATTTTTTTCCTTAATAGAGAAATTTTTCAGGAAAAATTACATTTTCTTTTCAGATATTTCCTGACTCAGAGAGAGAACTTTCTGGCAGCTGAATATTCATGAGTATAAGAAACAGAACTTAAATTCCAAAGGTTTTGAAAACTTCCCTTAAAAAGAGTTTAAGATTGACATAACTCCAATCACATATTAAATGTAGTAATAATCACATTTAAATTGTGTTGAGCTGGAGATATAGCTTAGTGGTAGAACATGTTCTTAGTACTTAGTATGCAGGAGGCTTTGGGTTCAATCCCCAGAACCAAAAATAAAGGAAACAAAAAGTATAAAAGAAAAACAAGGTGAAGGTGTCATTTTATGTAATAGCATCAAATGCACGAATAACCTTAATAAGCAGAGAAAATAGTATTTCTTTCATTCTAAGTTTCTTATAGAGATCTTTAAATCTGGATCTTTTGATCAGATTTCTTCTTTTGACGCTTAGGTGAAATTTTATGAAGATAAGGGAAAAGATATATTTAACAACATGTATTTATATTTGGCATTCTGAGTCTTTAATAGTATCAGAGCTGTGGGAGTATTTAATAGTAGCAGTTATAGTTCTTTTGGGAGGCCAATATGGTATATGAGCTGAAACTAAATTTGGAAGGACCATATGTGCTGAGAAGCTACTTAAACATTGAAGACAGTAGAACAAATACTACCAGTGACTTAACACATAGATGGATTGATCTATACACTGTTGATAAAGTGAACAAAATTTAACACATAATCTGGACTAAAATTGAATATCAGAAGTAATAACATCTTACTTTTGGTTTAAAATGCTTTTTTTGTTTGTGGGTAGTCAGGGACCATTTATTCTTTTATTTGAAGAATTTCCAAAATTTTCTTTATCTGGGTATTTATTAAATTCAGGGCAGAGAGGGACTACCACATGCATATTACTGTTTTTGGAATTACACTTTTTGGAATTTCACAAACTGAAAATCTGTTCCAAGGGAAAAGGGATGACTTAGTGTACCAATAATTGTATAGGAATTTTCTTCTGAAAATGTTGATAAATCCATTACTGCCAATTAATTACCAATTGATACTTCAATTTTCCAAAGAGAAATTAAATAAAAATTTGAGTCCTCTTCCTTCAGAATTCACCAAATGAACTTAGTAGACTTTTAATTCAAAAATAATCTTTCTTTTTTCATTCATAGTTGAATTTATAGCTCATAGCACAATGCCTCATACATAGTAGATGCTCAATTTATTTAATAAATAATTTCAAAACATTTTGGAAATCATGTAATATCATAAGTACTTAAGGACTTACTTATTTGAAACTTATCTACACATTGGATTTTGAAAGAAATATCTGTATTCAGAAAGGAATGCATAATTCCCTTAAATATTATGAGAATGATTACACTAAAAAGTCAATTTATTATTTAATGCTCTCTCCTTGCTTATTGAGGCTTCCAAAAACCCAGGGAACTATAAATAATGTGTTAATTTTAAATTTGGTTCAAATTTGACTTGTCCATATCTCTGATTTTAGGGACAAAGAAGAAATTAAATAAAAGAGCTTTCTGTTTCTCAGATTAACTTTCTGAAATCTGTATTTCCTGGTTTCTACTGAACTTTGGTTAGTCTTTATTGTATTAAAATTAAATGAAATTTTCAAGATACCAAAGGCTCAAAAGGCTTTCAAAGTAGCCATTCATTTATTTGTGAAATATAATTCTAGATAGTATACACTCACCATCTTGTTTCTCTGCAAACATGTCAATTCAGAAATAATTTCATTATATCCTTGATAGTCACCATCTAATTTTTAATGTTGAAAAGCAAAGGGATGAAATTAATTTTTATGTGGGGTTGTCATAAGACTAAGCTATGCTCAAATATCATTTACATATCAATAAATACCAATTAGTCTAGTGAAGTAACTCATTCTAATTTTCATAAATCTTTATTTATCCTTAAATGGTATTTCCTTGCATATGAAAGCTTTTTAAAAAACATGACAGTTTTCCTGTACATCCCACTACTTGATTCTGTTAGTATCTTTGCTTCTTGGAGTGGATTGTTAGATTTTTTTTATGCCACAAATTTACTAGTCAAAATTTGTAATTATTTTATGTCAAATGCATATATGCTTACCCACTATTTTGGTCCATTATAAACTTAAAAATTAAACTCATTTTCTTTCCATTATTTTAGTATTCAACACTGTTGATGAAAATTTTAATGTCAGGCTACTTCTCAGTATCTTTTATCTTTTACCTCTTTTTCTCTTTTCAATTTTTTCTTTAATTTTAATGTTCTGATATTTGCTAATTCCAAAGCTAAGATTCATTTAATATACTGAAGTTTTTGTTTATATAAATAATGTTTTCTTTTTCAGAATTTCTGTTTGACAGATTTTCATAACATCTTGTGCTTATTTTCCAATTGCTATTTTATTCTTTTTGGAATAAATATCTTTTATGTTCTTTCCATGTTGTTCTGAATCTCTATTTTTAATGGTGGAGAAAAGGTCTTATTTGTTGAGTCTGTTTTAATATTGCTATTCTACCCAACATGCTTGCTGATGTTTTGTTAGGAACTTATTGTCTATTGGAGGTTTCCTTCACACTAATACTCTTTTTCACATAGAGAGAAAAGAGAATAGGGATTTCAAGGCGGCATCTGCTCTGGCTTCTGCAAATCCAAGTCCTAATAAAGAAGCTTGGTTCAACTTTGCCACACAGTGATAGAAGTTCTGCACCCAGCCCCAAGGATGTGTTTGAGCTGGCCCAAGTTTCCTTGGGGTGTATCATTTTGTATTTGCTGTATGAGGCAAAATATCAGGGAACATCACCTTCTGCATTTTGGTTGTTCTGGTATCTGTTAATGTGGTAGACATGATAGCTAATGGAAAAAAAATTAACTTCAGTCTTTAGCATAAATAACCTGATTTTAAAGAAAATTGGATTATAACTAAAGTAATCAATACATGAAGAGTACATGGAAAAACCATGGTTTGATTCAGGTAACAAGTATGCATGATAATGCTCAGAAAAAAAACAATCCAGGATTCATCTTCTGAAACGTTGCTTACTAATTTTAGAAACTGCATGGGGCTCTGGTGATTGAACAAAATTGACTTGTTTCTTCCAAAACAATTTCCTCCCCGTGAAATCACCTGTCAAAAATGACTATTCTGATAATCACTATCAGAACTGAATACCATTTCTGTCACTAGGATAGAACCCTATGTCAGAAATATAGCACCAAACCACTAGACTGTTCCCTGAAATTATCAACAATTCCCTTACCAAAATCTCATGTATCTTTTAAAAAAGTAAATTATAGGAATGCATTATTACTACACAGTAGAAGCATTTTTACCTTGCACTTTGATAGTGCCAAAAAGAAAGACTACCTAGAGACTAACACCTAAGTCTTTCCCCCACTGCTGCCACAGGACATCAGTATGGGCCATGGAACTTTTATGCTTTAATATCCCTGGTTTTTGAGAATCTTGAGGAGTTTGAGTTCTAAAAGTTTGGGGATCCTTGTGGTAACCCTTAAGATACAAAAAGTTGCTAGATGACAACAAAGTCACTGCAAAGTAATGACTGTAGTATTTCCTGAGCTGACCAGGTAGAACAAGGTGGTGACCCAAATACCTAATACTCATGAGTATTTTATCTGTGATTTCTGACCTCAGAGCCCAGGATGTTTAGCATGTGGGTCTACAGCCTGGAAGTATGGAACATGTAAAGCATAGCTAGACCCCTAAGTGATAGCACAGCCAAACATCTAGTTCTGTCTTTAGGATAACTGGAAATCATCTATTTGCCATGGTCATCCTACTGCTAATCTAGGACTTCTTACAGCCTTCTCTTTCCTTCCTTGAATCAAAGGAAGGTTCCACATAGTCATTCTGTCTGCTTCTGTTCAATGCAATTTTGATGTGGGAGGTGAAGAGAGAAATTTCAGTGGACTGTTGCTCATAAGAAGGGCTTTTGGAACATTTTGGGGGATAAGAACATTA